CTTTTAAATAATTTAGTTCTTCATCAAGAGACAGTTTAGAAGAGCAAACCTGAAGTGCATGGAAAACACAGGGATAAAATGACGCTAACTTTTGTTTAGTTGGATGACATGACTTGAAGTGTGGTGGAAGGCAAACCAATGAAGGTTTATGGTAAACAGTAGTACTTAAGTTGGATGTGTTACATGTGACCAGACTGTCAAGGAAAAGTAGAGAGTTGCATGTCTCAAGTTCAAAAATGAACTGAATAGCAAAATCAATGAAATTCATTGATTAAATAGCTTTATTTAAATCATCTTTACTACCTTCAAACAGGGTAAAAGTATTATTTACATAGCGGAACCATACTGGGAAGTTTCAAATAATTTTGATTCACAATAATGCATGTCGATATCAGCCAGGATGTGACTGAGGGAGCTTCCCATGGCAAATTTTCAGTTTGCTTGTAATACTTATTTTGGAAAACAAAATGAATTTTTTTTAACAGAGTTGAGTGAGGAGAATTAGCTCATCAATTTCGATGCAAGAGAAATGAAATTCACAAAGTCTGGTTTCTAGACATCGTAATGCACCCTCCACTGGAACATTGGTGAATAACGATTTTACATCAAAAGAAATCATGAGATTTTAACTTTTTATGCAAACTCAATTGAATTTTTTATGGTGTAAATGTTATTATCTAATAGAGTTGAAAATCTAGAAACTAAATATTTAGCTAATGGATACGAGGCAGTGCCTAAATTTGACACAATAGGGCAGAAAGGAATACAACTTTTATGAATTTAGGGATGAGCATATAATCTGGCACAATTCGCAACAGATAGGATAAGAGACTATTTTAAGTTGAACGAAATGATTTGTGAAGATTTGATCGCAGTTTTTATTTTTGACAGGTCCAAAGGTGAAGGACTTTAGGGATCAAATTATATGGTAATTCGTTTAAGAGTTTAGTGACACCATCAATGTAAGTGTTCTTGTCGATGAGGACTATCTGGCCAGCTCTGCCAGTCTTTGAAATGATAACATTCAGGCTAGAATGAATTTTGCGCATTGTAGATCTTTATCTCGCATTTTACTCAGCTTGCTTATATTCCACTCAATGCATTAAACAATGCTTTTTTGACTTTGTAACAGGTCATGGAATTCATTATGCAGGTTGGTAAGAGAGATAATTATAAGCTGCCACACATGAAAAAGGTAGTGCTTTAATCTAAAAACACAATCCTGGAATTCATTAATTATGCCAGAGAATCCATTAATGCCATCCATGAAGCTATAAAAATTTTAAAAATTAAACAACATGTAATATATACAAAATAAAAGTTAAATACTTATTACACTTACATAGTTGTATCATGCTTGATCTTATTACTTACATAGTTGTATCATGCTTGATCAACTGTGCTTCCATCTTGAAATTAGTGATATAGCAAGATAATTTTTTTTTTTTTTTTTAAGGAACAATCAATTCAATACAAATAATTTATATAAACACAGAGGAAACTTGAGATATGAGCACCTCTATATATGAGAAATTCGAGATACAAGCAAAGCATGAAAAAAAAATTCATCTCTAAACATTAACAAACTCAAGTAACAAGCAACAAGCCAGGCTGTCGGTATGCCGTGGCGCTTTTCCCAATCCGGCTCGGACTCAATGTTCTTTGATCTACGTGTGTATGTGCTTGCGAACTAATTGTTTTTTTACTGTTAATCAGAAAATTATTATTTTATGATTCCTCCCAAGAAAATTGTTGCCTCAGATAGTGCTGCAGAGAAAAAGAAGGAAGACATGGCCATTGAAATTAAGAAAGAAATCATAGATTTATCTATGATTACATTTATAAACATAAGCGCTGTGCAAGAGTGATGGAATTGAAGACTTATGGCCGTTTGACATTGATCTGCACTATTTTGCAAAAGAAGGAAGAATTAATAAACTTGACGCGGCCAAAGAAGTTACTGTTACTTCCAAGCACCATCCAAAACTTCTAGATGTTGAGAAGTTGTTGTTGGTATGGATTAATGAGAATCAATTAAAAGGTGATTCGGTGTCAGAAGCTATCATTTGTACTAAGGCTAAGAATCTGTACTTGGACTTTCTCCAAAAAACACCAGGTACTTTGACTGAAGATGAGATAGCAATGAGAGGTTGATCTTTACATTATGGTAACTTGGCGATTTTTTGGCGAAAATTTGGCGACCAACTCTCCTACAGCAACCCTCTATTTTTTTTTCCCCACCGCCATTTTGTCTTCACGAAGTAAAGACATGTTTCTTTTCTTTTTATCTACTGAACACTTCTTCCAACAATCTACTAGCCGAATTGCACTTACGCTAGAAATTTTATCAAACAAAATTGCTTAATCATGACAAATATTCACTGCAAAATTGGGAAAAAGTGCACAATACCATACCCCTTACGCGTTTTTCAAAATAACACATACACATAAACCATGTACACGCCAACTTATTTTTACTTAAAAAAACATCCCAGAATTGCACAAAAATGGCATTGCGCACACTCTTCACTATATCCATGTACACTGCTTTTTTCTCATAAATTAGAAAAATTTCACGAAAATACATGACAATTTTTTCAATCTTTAAACCCGGTAAAAAGAACATATATGAAATTACCTGATCGCGAAAATGTATTTACACTTTCCAAATATGAACATTTCCACATATAAAATAAATAAAATATCCAAAAACTTTTACCTCTAAATCATCTATTACATTATACACGTCACCAACGAATTCATACCGCAAGCATTACAAATACTTAGTATCAAATATTTAAATTATTTCCATCCACGTTTACTTCAACTTAAACGTATACCAAATTCCTACAAACATAAAATTCACAAAATAACTATCATTTAATTAAAATATCACTAAACCATGTACACGTCGACTTATTTTTACTTGAAAAAACATCCCAGAATTGCACAAAAATTGCATTGCGCACACTCTTCACTATATCCATGTACACTGCTTTTTTGTCAGAAATTAGAAAAATTTCACGAAAATACATGACAATTTTCTCAATCTTTAAACCCGGTAAAAAGAACATATGTGAAATTACCTGATCGCGAAAATGTATTTACACTTTCCAAATATGAACATTTCCACATATAAAATAAATAAAATATCCAAAAACTTTTACCTTCAAATCATCTATTACATTATACACATCACCAACGAATTCATACCGCAACCATTACAAATACTTAGTGTCAGATATTTAAATTATTTCCATGCACGTTTACTTCAACTAAAACGTATACCAAATTCCTACAAACATAAAATTCACAAAATAACTATCATTTAATTAAAATTAAATTTCAAAACACTACTTAAAATATAAATGAGCACATACATTAAATTAATAAAAATTACCTTACAATCCTAATTACTTTAAACCAAATCATTGCTAATAACAATTTTCCCAATAATACCAAATTCCTTCCTTTCCACCTCACATTTAGAACAATGCGTAAAAAATAATATCCTCAAATAATTAAAAATACTAACTTACCTAATCTTCTTCAGAATCTTGATTACGTGGCGGATACACTTTTCTAATTCATTCAATAAAATTATTGAAAGATTTTTTCTGCGAATTTTTCCTCCATACTTCCTCCGCTAAATAAGAAGCAAACTTCTCTTTATCACAATGCCTAAATACCCATTTCGAATTAACTTTAGATACGGCCATGGGATCCAAAAATTAACAAACACTGTTTCACACAACACAGAATAAAGCCAAATACAAAAGTTCGAGATTTTTTCCCGATTTCCCCCCTTTTCCGATTAAAGAACCGTAATTCGTCCATTAATATCACATGACATATCCCATGATCTCTCATTTCCCTCACACAAAATAATGCGTAATCGGAGCTGAGTACTGCTCACATTATTACCAAAGTCCCAGGTAGTAACCTTTATCGCCTCCAAAATGTCGCCAAACTACCAGTTACCATATTGTAAAGATCAACCCAATGAGATTTTGAGGGGTGCAAAATGGTATAACTGGATTTCTGTTATTTTCAGTGGGGAAGTTTGTTCCTAGATATGAGAAATTCACTATACGAGCTCAATGCTGGAACAAATTAAACTCATATCTCGAGGTTCCACTGTAGGTGGATCATTTCAATATGGAAAATGAAAATGTCAATAAAGTCATTTATGAATAATGCTTACCTAGAAATGTGTGAATGCAAACAACATAAAAGAAAATGTACTCTGAATAAATAAACAACAATATTACCAGATTTTATATCATACATAATTAAATCAAATGACAGAAAAATATTAAAAAAATTTTGGTAAAAATATATTTACAGGTACCCCTTGGCGAAAATTGGCGGTACATGGATACCGAGTTTGTGCAATTCTTTGACTTATTATTTTGGTGCCAAAAATCGCCGCCACACAAGCTAAAAAAAACAGACAAGGCCAAAAATCGCCAAAATAGTGAGACAAAGAATTGCACAAACTCGGTATCCATGTACACATCGACCTATTTTCACTTTAAAGACATCAGATTATAATGGAAATATAATAGAAAAAAACATATTTTGGCTTTGTCTAGTGGTGCAAAAATTGCTGCTACACAAACTCAGTATTTACATATACATCGACCTATTTTCACTTAAAAAAACATCAGAGAATTGCACAAACTTGGCATTGTGCACTCCCTTGACTTTATCAATGTACATGTCGACCTATTTTCACTTAAAAAAACAACAGAGAATTGCACAAACAAGGCATTGCACACTCTCGTCGATAAATGAAACAACAACTTCACGATAATACAAGGGGTACCCTTCTCTTTACTCTAACCAAAATTTTTACAACTGCAAATATCAGTTTTAAAAATCTGTCAAATGAAATGATCAAGAAAAGGAAAAAATTCTACTACTTTCAATTACTGAATCTAAGTAAAACTTTAATTTCAAATCTTATATTATTTATATAATTAAAAATTATATTTTACCTAATTTATATAAAAGCAGAAAAACAATAGCTGGTATTGTTCCTTTAGTTGAAAATATTATCTGTGGTATTTCACATATATTGTATTTTTTATCTGAAGGTGATGATGCTAATTTTGCTTCTTTAGTTTCATCTTCTGATTCTAAAGTCTCCTTTTTGATATTAAGCCTTTTTCGAAGTAAATTCTCATGAGATTCTTCAATACTAAATGGTCTTTTACTTTCATGCGATTCAATAGTTTCATCCTTTAATTCTGTCGTAGGATTGCTATTTTTACGTTTCGGTCCATCAGATTTCACTTTTGTGAAATAATTGTGAGTATACATAGGCAAAACTGCAACAACAGACATAATGTACAGACTAGCAAGTGAAAGACATAAGTAACTCCAGCCATGATAAAAATGAACCCAAAATAGTATACCCCCACCGAATAAGGCTCCTAATTTATAACCCACAACTTGGGCTGTATTTCCATGTCCCATTTCACATTCTTGCAATAACTGCAATGCTAAAGCATCCACTGAAACATCCTGAATTGCAGAAAATAAATTAAGAAATAATAACCATATGGACATCAATACAAAATACTCAGTGTTTATTATTATACCAAAAAGAGAAATGGTTGTTAAAGCAGCTAAACTAAATAAAAGCCAAAGCCACTTTGTGAAAAAGAGGTCAATTAACGGTGCAAAACCAGCTTTACACAACCACGGTAAAAGCAACAATTTCATGAGAGATAATCGAGTATGTGATAATCCAGTTGATCTTAAATACATAGGAATAAATTTATCTTGAAATCCGTACGGTAAGCCCTGAACGAAGTACAAAACAGTTAATGTGAAAATCTTGCCAATCATGATGAAAGTGTTATTTGAATCACACAATAATTAACGGAATAAAACAATAAGATGAATAAAATTAATTAACATTAAAATTCATATGACGCCTAATCAAGTCAATATATATTCACATTTCGAAACTGACAGGGAGATGACCTGTTTTGCACCCGCTAAGTCTTTCTCCCCGGAACCGGCATTTGAAATCAGGTAAAGTTACAGTGCTAGCTCTAGCAAACCTTCTATGTCTTTCCAATTATCCATACCTCTGTGTTTTTAACATGTGAAACTGCAGTGTTTTAGGGGGATATTTTTTAGTGTACTCAAAGTAATAGCCAGCTTACAACTCGCGCACATGCATACCCTCCCATGTCTGTGAGTCATGCAGAGTAAATTGCTTTATATTTAAGCATCATTTCGCTGAACAGTATTCTCTTGCTGTAAAAAAAAATGTGAATATTATCCACATAAGCGTTTTTTTCGCATAAAGTTTCAAAGCCTTGGTTACAAACTTGCTCCAAAATGAGGTTTTGAAATATTCAATGAATTCAGACAGGCACTGCTACTTGTTCTTTATGGCCAATGGCAACGACCTCGTTGGTCAATGGGCGCGTTTCAGTTTCGATTTAAAAATCGGCAACTATGAGTACTTACAGTAGTATATCTGTTTATTCGGTCAATTTTAGTGATAGAGATGTTTTGAAATTTTTTAAATCAAAGTGTCACATATTTCCTTAAATATTGTGCAGTTATATAGTTTTTGAAAAATACAGAGATCAAATAATATTAATGTTTTTACTGCACTTGGATTTAAATTTCACCGCACTAGGATGTAGAAAGAAATATGAATATATTTTATGAATTAAAATGTGTGTGTATTGAGTGCTGCGTCCGGTAAACATTCGAAGTTAAAACTGAGAATGATGGTATATTTTCTTATTTAGCATTTTGAAGATTTAAAAATTTTTCTTCCTCATACCCAGTGCTTGTTACATAGAAAGGGTTTTTAAATACTTTTGCGTATATTTCATAACTATCTTTCTCTCTTTTTTTTTTTTTAATTTTTTTTTTTTTTTTTTATTTTAAAGCAGTAATTGTTTCGAGCTGATTATCATCGTAGCATAGCAAATGTTTTGCCTCGGAATGACTCAGTTTTGAAATTGAGATAAGCGGTATCCCTTTCGACTGTTATCAATGTACCGATAAAGGAAGGAAAAGTAATCGCTGGAATGAAAGTATGATTATGCGTCTCAATAAGCTATTTTGTGAAAGTTTGTGCTTGAGAAATATATGGCACAATCAAACTTCTTTGAGCTATGCATAATTTAAAACTGTAAGAAATATGATTTTGCTTTCAGTATTATTAATATTTTTTAGAACTGTTACGTTATAAACTTGAGGGGAAAACAAAACGCTTTTTCATATAGGTGGGAATTTTTTTTTCTGAATATGTTATATGGAAGAATTTTGTTTCTTTTTGCTTTATACATTTTTAGACTTCTTATAGTTTTGTGATAATGATAGTGATCAATTTTTTTTTCAGAGGTATTGTTTTTGTTATTATTATGATGTTTTTTTTTTTTTTTTTGGTTGTTGTTGTAGATACTTTATTTTTACAATGATCATAAGAATCATATGGATTTTGGTGCTTTTCGAAGGTCTGATATTTTTTCATTTCTGACTTCCATTTCTTTTAACTTTCTGTAATTTTTTTCATTCTGCTTCATAGTGGTTAATCTAAATCTGTTATTTTTATAGCAGTTTTGAATTCTGAAGCTTCAACTTGTTCATCATGGCTTACATGTGGGCAGTGCATTGCTTCTCGGAATTGTACTTGATGTTCAGAATCGGTAAGAATAATTTTTTTTATCTTATTGAATTAGTTTTTTCAAAAAGTTATATATTAGTCTTGAATTATTTCGATTAACAAGAGAGGGTTATCTATTTTGTATCTTGCTATTCATAAATATATTTATAACTCGAATTTTCTACTTATTTAATATCGGAATTTTAATTAATACATATGTAAAATTGTATGTACTTATGTAAAATTGAAAATACAATAAAAATGTACATATAAATTTAAAAATTGTAAATATGTAAAATTGTACATACAAATTGTATGCTACTTATATAAAATTGGAATTTTAATTGAGACTAAAAAGTCTCAATTATCCACCATACTGCAGAAACTTAATTTTTGCTGAAAGTTGCTATTATTACTCTGTTCTATACTCTACTATCTCAAGATAGTATATTAGTCATATTATCGTGACCAAGTTTGTAGTAAAATGTTGCTTGATGTTCAATAGGTCTATTTTAATGTATGTCTTTAAAACGTTCTGCGTTACTGATCATTACTGAGTCTCATCTGTCTAAGATGATCAGGACTGTAATATATATTAATATTATTTATCTTTCTATAAGAATCTGAAAATTCACAAATTTTCAGCTGTAAACTGTTTAACTTTGAGTCCCAGGCTCCACAAAGGTTTTAATAAAGAAATATTGCATGTCAAACGTTCTCAAAGATGTTTTTATTGACAGCATATAATTCTATCAAGAAGTTGAGAAAATATTGCATTTTAATATGTAATGTTTTAAAGAATGTTCTTTTTAGAACAACAATAAATTGAAATTAAATATTGTTGCCTCTCGCAAGTTATGGGTTTCTTCCGTAAAGAACCTGTTGCATTTTTTCTAGTCAAGCTTGCCAACAGCTGATTGATGACAAGCAGCATACAGTTAAGTTATCAGATATTAAGTACATAAAAGTAAGCCAGTTAAACATGACATTAAGTGCAGATAATGAAAATAAGTTTAATAATAAATGACATAAATTCAAGTTATCAGAGAAAACAATATATTAAGCATATGGAAGTAAAAATGGTTGATCTTTACATTATGGTAACTTGGCAATTTTTTGGCGAAAATTTGGCAACCAACTCTCCTACAGCAACTTTCTATTTTTTTTTCCCCGCCGCCATTTTGTCTTCACGAAGTAAAGACATGTTTCTTTTCTTCTTATCTACTGAACACTTCTTCCAACAATCTACTAGCCGAATTACACTTATGCTAGAAATTTTATCAAACAAAACTGCTTAATCATGACAAATATTCAAATTAAATTGGGAAAAAGTGCAAAATACCATACTCCTTACGCGTTTTTCAAAATAACACATACACATAAACCATGTACACGCCGACTTATTTTTACTTAAAAAAACATCCCAGAATTGCACAAAAATGGCATTGCGCACACTCTTCACTATATCCATGTACACTGCTTTTTTCTCATAAATTAGAAAAATTTCACGAAAATACATGACAATTTTCTCAATCTTTAAACCCGGTAAAAAGAACATGTATGAAATTACCTGATCGAAAAAGTATTTACCCTTTACAAATATGAACATTTCCACATATAAAATAAATAAAATATCCAAAAACTTTTACCTCTAAATCATCTATTACATTATCAGAGTTGCCAACTCTCCCGATTTAGGCGGGAGACTCCCGATTTTCGACCGCTCTCCCGCCAACCCGATTTACAATATATTTCTCCCGCCTTTTTCGTATTCTTAATATTTCTCACGATTTTTATGGAACTTGGCTTAATACTTCGTTATATGAACAACAAAAAAAAAAAAAAAAAAAGTGATTTTGGACGTCTGAAAGCAACTGAATTTTCTCTAGATTATATCTAAAATGAAACCTTGCGAATCAGATGAGAATTTCTGCTTTGTGATTGACAGCATACGTATCCAGAAACGTCGTTTTCCAGTTCTCCAATGGTCATCGAGCTCCACTGCGTGTCATCTGGCATATATTAGCCAATGAGCATAAAGCAAGCTCAAGGCCGTTGGATGTTCTTTCGCTATTTCGTTCATCTTCTCCTGAGTTGTGTGAGTACATGTGCCTTTAGGAAATAGTTTTAGAAATTATCGTCTTTTGATATGTCTGCGAGAAAGGTGAAATACTCGTGCACGTTTCCAAAATCGTACACAGTTGACTTTCCTTCCATTATTTCTTCAAGGAGATGTAATAAATTTGCGATGTGTACCATCTGTCGTTGCGATTTTTCGATTTCGCTTGGTGGAAGGGCAGATGTTTTCAAACATGTGCGTACACATAAACACAAGGACAACATGAGTTGTTTTGAAAAAACGAAAAATTAAGTTTTTCTTCGGAAACAAAAGACCAAAAAGTGATTAATGCAGAATGTCTGTTCTCTGCCTTTTTACTGGAGTACAACCTGCCACTGAATGCATCGGATCACGCTGCAGCTTTATTTAGAAAAATGTTTCCCGATAGTGAAATTGCTAAGAAATACTCAAGTGCAAGGACCAAAACAGGTGCAAATTGTTAAAGAAAAAAATGGGTTTGAAAAATAAATCTTCAGTTATTGATTGCATTAAAACAGCTCCGTTCTGCCTCTCTACGGATGGAAGCAATAATACCGAATTCAAAACTGTATCCAATTGTTGTTTCTTTTTTTAATCCAGAGTCTTCAGAAATTGAGTGCAGTTTACTTTCTGTCCCCACTTTAGAAGGACATTCGACAGGCTTTAAATATAGCACAGCTAATTATTAAAACTTTAAAATAAAATGCAGTCCCTCTGGATAATTGCTTAGGCGCTTGGTGCCGATAATGCACCAGTAATGGTAGGCTTTTGAAGACTGGTGTTGCAGGCATCTTAAGAAAGGCAAATTCAGATTTGCAGATTATGAGGTGCACCTGTCACCTCTTAAATTTAGCAGCTGAAAAAAGGGCAGCTTCTTTACCATTAAATGTGGATGAACACATTATTGATATTTATTATTATCTTGAAAGGAGTTCTAAAAGAAAGGGAAAATTGAAACAGTTCCAACAGCTGCATAATACTGAAATGAGAAAAATTTTGAAACGTGTGTACACTCTGGTTGTCTTTAAAGAAATGCTTATCTAGAATCCTCGATCAATGGAACCCACTTCCTGCATTTTTTAAAGAAGAAGTAAATGATTAAGACACAATAACACGCCGAATAAATACTAATTCAGAAGTCAAACAACAAAAATCAGCGTTATATTCACAAAATTTTCACAGGACTAGTTTCGATGGTTTTACCGAACCATCATCTTCAGCTGCAAAACCGCAAATGAACAAGATAGGAAATAATGATTAGATAAGATAAGAAAGCCTGGACAAGAATAAGCAAGTGGTGCCATCTGTTGGCGAAACCAGAACTAAAACATAATTTCTCTAAAAGCCGAAGGCAAATTTGGATTGGAATTAGGATCGTTAACTAGAACAGAAAGATTTTTATGAATGTGAAATGCCTCTAGAAAATCCAGTTCTCCAATGGAAGATGTTTTTTGAATAATTTTGGCAGCAGAAAAATTGAAAGTGTGATTTTCGGACCAACAATGTTGAGCAACAGAAGACTTCTGTGTTTCCTTTTTTCTAACATATGCCTCATGTTCTTTCTTGACGCGAAATTTTAAGGCTCTCTTAGTTTGGCCAATGTAAATTAAACCACACTGGCAAGGAATCCTATAAATACCCCAGGAATTCATATCCGGAATGGGGTCCTTGAGTATAGAAGTTGGAATTTTATTGATGGGAGAATAAACAACCCGAAAGTTAAATTTCTGCAAAATATGTGCAACTTTATAGCTAATTGATGGAAAGAAGGGAATGACAACAGAATTTTTATAATCTCCTAAAATAAGAGTGTGGCTTTTTTGGTGTTGAGATGAGAATTTTTTTAACTGCTTGATTAATAATGTTGGGTGAAAAGCCCCTGTCAATAGCTATTGCTTTTAAATAATTTAGTTCTTCATCAAGGGCTAGTTTGGAGGAGCAAACTTGAAGAGCACGGAAAACATAGGAATAAAATGAAGCTAACTTTTTTTTAGTCGGATGACATGATTTAAAGTGTGGTGGAAGGCAAACCGATGAAGGTTTACGGTAAACTGTAGTACTGAAGTTGGATGTGTTACGTGTGACCAGAATGTCGAGAAACGGAAGAGAATTGCAAGTCTCAAGTTCAAAAGTGAACTGAATAGCAGGATCAATAGAATTCATTGTTGAAAGAACTTTATTTAAATCATCTTTATTACCTTCAAACAGG